TAAAAAAAAAAAAAAAAAAACCAGGGAACAAGTGAGGCCGCTTCTGTATAATTTATGTTCTGAATAGAAGTTCTCTGAAGGAACATTGCAACTGTTAACAGAAGTGATTTTCTTTTACAATCTTTAGACTGCTCTTTTCTAGAATGGTGCAACGCAATTTAAGATGTTTTAACCCATGTTCTTAAGATATAATGCAGTGGATAACAAAGAGTATTTCTTGTGGTAATTTCTGATGTTGCAGATCTGGACTATATTTCCTTTGATGAATTACTTCATTCTCATTAGCAGGTGTTACTTTTTTCCTGGAGGAAAACGTGCTTCTATATCTTTCTACCTTTTCTCTAATTACTTTTAAGGAAACAATGAGCAAAAATAAACCCACCATTAGGTGAATTACTATTCTGTGGATCTCTTTCATAAAGGAGGAATCAAATACGTCCCCCGAGAAGAGCTGACCCAGGAACGGCAACTATCAGAAGGAAAAGAAATAAATGAAGAATCTAATATAAGTAAAATAAAAAATACGTATAAGTAAAATTTACCTATTATCAAGAGAAGAGGACCTATGAGTCCATGACCTCAATGATTTGACTTTTCCACTTTAGCAAGACCTCTATCAATAACATGTCTCACTGCCTCGGAAACAACAAAAAATTGGTAGCATGCACCTTATTTTGATGCATGTTTTAGGATGAAAATGTGGTCATGGCATATTCTTGTAGGGAACTTATAATCATCTCTCATCATTAATAGATTTTATGGTCAGGAGAAAATGCCCATTTTTATAATAATTTGAGGACATGAAATATCTAAATAAATTGGTTAAAGGGATATATCACATATTTCTCATTTGTTTCTTTCTACCATTATGAAGTTCTTGCAGATTATGGTGTTTCCTCTGTAGGGTTTGATATTTTGTTAGTGTTTGCTAGTTTGCAAGTCAAGATGCTCTGCGTTTAAATTTGTTCCTTAGACAGAAAACAGTTGATCATTTTTGTGGCACTCGGAGAATTTGTGCTTTACCTGAGCAACAAGCTAATTTGTTTCCTCAAAATTGTAGGAGGAGGAAATAAAGACTAGTGAAGAGCGGGTAAAGAAGCTTCTTGAAATGACTCCACCAAAAGGAAAAGATTTCCTTTGTAGCATTGAGCACATATTGGAGCGTGAAAGGAATTGGGTGAGCATCAGTTTTCTCTCTCTATTCGCTTTTTCATGCAGGAGATCTTTGTATTGTGGGTTGACTTATTATGCTGTACGAATGATGGCTCTTTCCATAGGTTTGGTGGAAACGTGATGGCTGCCCTCCATTTGAGAAGCAACCAGTAGAGAAAAAGCCGGTTCAAGGTGGAACCAAAAAACGGTAACTACAAATTGGCATGTGCTGTTGCTTTTAATCCTTACAATGCATAATATATTGGTTAACATATCCAGATCATATGTTTTTTCTTAGTTTTGCATTTCTCTGGCATTGAAAAGTTTTGTTAAAAAGAATGAAAATGCATAGGAGGACTAAGTGCCCTCTAGTGACAATATTAGAAAATGATGAGTAATGAAAAGTTTAAACAAGGAGTATCCCAATCTCTTTGAAGATCCAATAGCTCCACTCCAGAATTCAATCCTTCTGCGATCACCATACCAATGCTATGAGAACTATTCCCTTCCAAACTAACGCTGGATGAATACTTTTGTCCTGGAATATTTAGCATTATGCTAAAGCCTAATACACCACTCAACAGAGAGCATGAAAGATTTCTTCAAAGCTTTTCACGTTTAGTCTATGTTACATGAATCCTTCATTTGCCTTGATATATCTGTTTTGGGAGGGGTGTGATAAGAGTGTATATTTCGTGCAGATTCTTTAAAATATCCTAAAAATTAAGCAAAAAACTTGACATACCTGTACCAAATACTTCCACACACCATGCTTAGTACGTAACATAAACAAATCCATGTAACATAGCATTTAGTACAGCCAAAGTTGTGAATTTAACTGGAAAGGATTCAACCAACGAACACATGCTTCATGGTTCTCTTCCTTACGGGGAATGACTTAAAGGTGGATGAGACCCATTGTTGTTCTGGACATATAACATGGGTGAATATCCTTACTTGGCCTGTAGATTTTGTAGTAAATTTTTGTGAACTAAAGACCATGTGCAAACCATATCACAGCTTTCCATAATGAAAGCCAGCCAACATAATTTTGTGCTTCTGAAAGTCTTCCCAGATTTCCTTGTGTGATTGGTATAATCGTCAGTTCTTAAATCCACTGCTTAAGGTTAAACTATTTACAGAACAGTTGGTAGATGTTTCAATCTTGTGAAATTAGTTGGTTTGTGATATTTGGTACTTTTGCATTGGGTAACAGAAGAATTTGTCTGAAAATTTCTATCTATGTACATCACATATCTGTAGGAGATGAAGTCATTCAGAAGTCTTTCAACAATTTGAATTGTGTTTTCTCCAATCCTTTTGAAACAAAACTTATGTTCTGCTAAATGGTGCCCTTATGACTTATTTCATCTTAATCCATTGTGGACCCATCTGCGCTGGATAGTTGCTTATCCCATCCTCAGCAGCCTATGTAATGAATTGACAACAAAAAAGTTTTGTATTCTAGCCTTGAGAAGCCAAGGAGCATAATAGTTATGTTTAGTCATTAGTTCCTTCTAATCCTTTTTACTTAATAGAACATGTTTTCAGGAACTCAAGCTGTTGCTATTGTTTTTGATTCCCTTTACCCACAACTTAGGTGATAATTAACCATCTTCTTTTTCCCTTACTCGCAGTCGGCCACGATGGAGGCTCGGAAACAAAGAACTATCTCAATTGTGGAAATGGGCAGATCAGTATCCGGTTTGTTTTTATCAACTTATTACTTGCATGAGTCCCATGTAGCAAGATATATATCACATTAATTTTCAGTCGCTGTGTATGAGGAACTTGCTGATATTGTCACAATTACACAACGAAATCATTACAACTCTTTTGTTAATGAATTCTCATCATAGATCATTCATTTTGAACCTCTGACAATAGTTGCAGTGAGTAATAATGTGTAATGGGCTTGTCTGTAATGGATGGTCTTCTATGGACTATGCAATTGTGAAAACCAAATATCCTCTCAATCATCATGAACCGTATGAATGATATACACATTGAACACATTTTAAGATAATTGTTAGATATGTTGTGTGTTTCCAGATATGAATGCTTATTTCTGGCTTTTCAAATGTAAAACAACTAAATAAAATGAAAATATTCCTTCATCTTTTTTGATAATTGAAAATCATTTCACTGTTCAACACATTGAGACAATGTCAGCTGTACAAAAGGTCTGATATCAAGTATACGAAATATTATTCCAACTATATATACAAGAAAGAATGTTCTGTTTACCCCAAAATTACAAATGAACAAGATCTCGTTCGACTTTCTGTGCTGGTCTCGTTTTTAGAAGTTCTATTTCTTTCCTCTTCAGATTGTTTGGAATATATAAAGAGGTGTTGTCTTCCACAGCCTTTATACTAAATAGAACATACTAAGATCAGTTTGCTATGTTGCGAACTGCACTATTAGTAAATGATCCGCATCCTTCCCATGCACTTTGTACAAACAACACTGATTCGTAACATACTTCTCCATTTCATAAGATTGTTAACTTTTAAGATAGCATCCATGTGGCACCACGTGAAGGACCCCTCTTTCTTAGGTGCTTTGGTATTCCATAGTTCCATTTGGACCTTGCATCCCCGCCATTGAGCGATCATCTATAATATGATTTCACCAAGAAATATTTGTCGCGTGCTCCTATTTTAAATTATTTATCCTTGCTGCCGAACTGTGTATGACTATTTTCTTCTGCAAGAAATCTAGTTTCATCTGATTCTCAATCTTGGCTTTGAAATTGTATCATCCAAAAGACTAAAACCATGAATATGTAGTTCTAACATGTCTTATTCAAGGTATCTGACTCTGAAGAAGACGTAGCTTATTATTTTGATGCTGAATGGCTAAATGTAATTATCTTCTCTTACTCTTCTTTCTCCAGAATGCTTTAACTGATACTCAACGTGTATGCACTCCCTCTATCACAGATTACTGGAAACCTCTGGCAGAAGATGTAAGCATTCATTAAGTCTCCTAAGACAACTTTTGTAGGAGATATTCTCTAATCTTTACTTTGTGTTATTCCTTTCATTGCGATAGGAACAGGTATTTTCGTAATATTTCCTTGATTTTCTGAGTTTCTTAGTTTGATTTTTCTCTCTTCTAGATGGATGAATCTGCTGGAATAGAAGCAGAATACCATCACAAAAATAACCGGGTTAGTGTCTTCTTCTTTTCTGCTTGATTTTTTCCTACACGTCTTATTACCACCATGACATTCATTATGTTCTTGGTTACAGCTTAAGTGACCTTTTACTTTTTATTTTTATTTTTACAATGGCATGTTTAAGAAGACATTATAGCAAACATAATGCTAGCTAACTCTGGTTTATTTCATTGAAATATTTGGATTCATTTCTAGCAGTTTGTTATACACCAAAAATCAGTGATATTGAGATTCATTTGTGTATCATAACATATTCTAATGCAGAACTGATCATGTCATAACTAAGGCTATATACACACGATAAGTAGCTAAGGCTCATTTACGTTGGAACATAATAGAACCGTGTTGCCATAGATGAGTGCATATTTATCTCTACATATACAGAACTTGTACCTAGTAAAAATGTATACAAGACTTGTGTGAGCCTCAAAGCTGGACCAAGTAAATATCTTGTATCAGCTAAAAATATTAAAAGGTATATTTGCTGTTAAAAGAGAGATTAGGAAAAGGTTTGTCTCGGTGTATAGATAGCTGATAGTTCAGAATCTTCTATTAGAATACAAGTTGTGTACTTCTATTTTTAAACAAAACATTTTCTTGAAATGTTTTGGCGTAACACCCTTGAATTATTCCAAGTTGTCACTTGATTCCAACACATGATCAACTCTTTTTCTTCTGTAGTTTCTAATCAGTAATTAAGTGGCACATGGATCTAAACTCATTGCATAGAATGATTTTGGGTCATAATTCCTGTGTGGGTAAAGAAAGTAATTGGAATGCTAAGATTCCTTAAGCTGTTCGACACGAGCTATGTGCTCATCATTAGTGTCCTTCCCTCAGGGATGAAAACCAATGCCAAAGATTAAATAGATGTTCTATCTGACATATTGTGACCATGCTTAGTATTTCACTCTCTGTTCATTTGTTGGGATAGTGTGGTGGTCAAATGCACTTTCTAAGGCAGGTGTATTAAGGATTCTTTGTTCTCATGCTATATTGAAGATGTCACATGTAACAATATGTAATAATTATCTCTAAAGTAAAAATGAGAACTCGCGGAGAAAATTGTTCTGTGTTGATATCATCATATATCTTTATGCTCTGCTCACGATGCATATTTCTATAACTTCTCTTTCTTGGATGCATGATTGTAACGATGTATCCTGGGATCTATCCAGGTCTATTGTTGGAAAGGTTTGCGGTTTTCAGCCCGGCAAGATTTGGAGGGATTTTCCAGAGTATGAGCTAACTTATGGGTGTGATTTCCAGTCTTTATCATTAAACTTTAAACTTCTCAATGAAATTTGTTACATGTTTCTTTTTCAGTTTACAGAGCATGGTATTGAGGGGGTTGTGCCTCTGGAACTTTTGCCTGATGACGTACGGGCCAGATATCAAGCTAAGCCAGGTGAAAGGACTAAGCGGGCTAAGAAGGAGGAAACAAAAATCTCAGCGCAGCAAGCAGAAGAAAATCAGGTACCTGAAAGCGAAACTTAAACTTACGTTCCCCGTTTCTATTTTTTTTCCCCATAAGTTTAATCCTTGTTGCAGTTCTCTGCTGATTTGAAGATAGCAATTGGCTTTACCATAAGAATCAAGTATTCTTTGGCGTTTTGAAATTACCACGGTTTTCACGTCCTCTGTACCACATGCTCTGTACACAGTCTGAACGAGAAAACCCTTCCATAACATTGGACACTCACATTTGTCAAATGCTCACCATTTCTGAGGATATAACTTCAATTATAAAACTAATTATTTTAATCACCTTTTATAGTTCATTATGGCCTGTCTTCGTCACGGCAGCTTATATCTTTTGTGAAATATCACATCATGATGTCCAAGGTACCAAGCAAACATATATGCCACATTTGGAAATGACCACCTCATGTTATTGGCGTATAATTAAAATATTGATTCTGCTTGGAGAATGGTGAACCAAATAGGTTTTATCATATCATTATTGGAGGTATAGATGCTAAAATATATTTGTTTTGCTCTTTGATGTACTGTACTAATGGTTATTATCCTTCATTTGCAAAAAATCTGATTTTCTTTCTGTCTGATGCTTTAATTATTCATACTTTGGAGTATTTTCTAGTTCATGTTTTTTGAGTAAATATATATATCTAGATCATTAGTCCTCCCATTTTCTGTCCTTAACAATTCTTTTGGTCTAATCTTGTAATGTTATGGCTAGATCGCGACAGCAGCAAGTGAGATGGACAATGAAGGGGGGCGAGCTGATCCTGAAGCATCAGTTGCTCCAATTGACACAGACACGAGAATTGCAACTGTTACCATATCTCAGGAAGAAACTCCAACTCCAGAAGATAACCAGAAACAAAGCTCTGATACAGATATTGCTCAAGAAGCAGGGCAGATGGAAGCAGAGACGGGGATGATTGATGGAGAAACAGATGCGGATGTTGATCTAGATGCTGTAGGCTAATCCTACTTTTTTATCAGTTCCAAGTGAAAAGAAGAACTGATACTGAACGGTTCATAAACAACGCAAAAACAATGCCTTTTAGATTTAAAGCTAACTGTCCTCTCAATCTTTTAGCATTAGCGATACTCTATTTTTACACCCTACCTCCTTTAAGTTTTCTTTATTTATCCTTTCCCATGTTATTTAGCTTATTCTGACGAGCTTAAAACTATACAAGTTGTTAATTTTCATTTTACCTGCTCAAAACTATTGTCTCAATCTGCCCAATCCCGCGCTCAGATCCAATTCGCCACATTGCTCTCTACTGAACAATTTCTAGGGAGTGTGAGGTAATGCAAAATTTAGATTTTGATAAATAAACCAAAAATGCAGGCGGGCAAAGGGTTGAACAGGTAATATAAGGAAAGATATGTAATACACCGAATACCTTAAACTTCAAAATAAGTGTTCAACTTTAGTGTTCCAACACTTATTGAAAGTTACAACGCTTAACATTCTCAAGCACCACTATAAGCTATTCATAAACCCCATTATATATCTCTTTTCTAGTTCCCCATGTTATCTATAGCTATTTTAAAACTATAAGGTTGAGGTTGCAACAGATTAAAAAGACTTTTTTTACATTGCAAATATATTTGGAAAAACAAATGAGTTAGTATTTTCTGATCATTCATATTGATAAGTAATCAACGTAAGTGATTTTTTTCAATTCAATTAAAAAAAAGTCATCGTACATTTTAAATATTATATAGGAATAAAAAGTGTTCATTTTTCATAAAACATAAAGGATTAAAATTGCTCAAATGATATTTGAAGGACTATTTTAAACTAACCAAGATATAATGGACTAATTCTATGATTTTCTATTCCAAAGTCCAAGTTTGTTACCCTAACAAACAGAAGAAAATAAAGCCCTAGCTAGGTTTTAGGTATATAAAGCAGACGGAGTACTCACAAAAGCCTCCTATTGCCTTTGGAAAGAGAAGTTGAAGCGGCAGCAGTAGTCAGTCTCCGTTGCATAATTCTGAGCTTCTTCTCTCCACTCTCAGGTAATGTAATCTCCACGCACCCGTCTTCTCTCTAAGAAATGGATGATAGAGAAATTGATTTCTTTTTGTGTGCAGAAAGATGGCAGCATATGCAGCAATGAAGCCGACCAAGCCAGGGCTAGAGGAGCCACAGGAGCAGATTCACAAGATTAGGATCACTCTTTCCTCCAAAAATGTTAAGAATCTCGAGAAAGGTTTCCCCTTTTATGCTTCTTTTACATCTGTTCTTTTCCAATGTCATGAGTATGTGATTTTCCTACGAGTCAGTTGCGAAGAGTTTCCGTTAAACTCTTTAGGGTTTATGGTTTTGGTTTTTGGCCTAGACTTGATGAGAAAATGGTGGAAGTACAATTATAATTAGTATAATAGAGTAATTGAATTTGTATCAATGTGTCTATTTTGAGAAACATTGTTCTCTAACAAATCAACTAATGGTGTTGAGCTCATATGCTAGTCAGAAGCAGATTTTAAAGCAATTTGTTTTAATTTTTGAAAGTTGTTGAAAGGACTTAATTGGGAATTTACTCGTTATGTGATGTGACCGTGTTGTATGAATCCCCATGGCTACTATTTGATTTCATTATTATTGGTACAGGTCAAAAGCTGCATTTTGTTTCTATCTGGTAGAAGGTTATTTGTTTGATACATTTTTGTGTGTAGATTTGATTTATGTCTGGACTTTCAAATGCTTAAAGTAGAACTAGTTTATATATTTTTAAAGTCAATGAGTTTTAGTTTCTCTACCTCTAAGAAATGTACCCTATATCTTGTAACTTTTGGTTAAAGTAGATTTTGGAGCATCGTGTTTCAGCTGGGAATGACTTTTGCAGTCAGAGTTGTGGTTTGAAATTTCATATATGGTTTACTTGTGGTTGTGGTTTTGTATAAATTATTAAGAGATACACTCTTATTCTTTGACATGATTTAAAAACATGTAGTGTGTGCTGATTTGGTTCGTGGTGCCAAGGATAAGAGGCTCAGGGTGAAGGGACCAGTGAGGATGCCCACAAAGGTCCTTAACATTACCACTAGAAAGTCTCCTTGTGGTGAAGGTACTACCATTTCATACTTTTTTATGCCTTTTTGTTCCTCTCTGAAATAACATAATTTTAACTGGAGATATTTGATTCTGAATCCAATCCAGAGATTCTTGTATCAATAGGAGAGAGTATTTTGTTCATCTGTCAACTTAGGCTCAACTATTTTAAATTGGTAATTTGGAAGGTTAGTTTCTGTAGTCTTATATCTGAGACTTAATCTTCTAGCAAGTGGTTTTAAAGAATATAAACTTGTGTTCCAAAGTCCTTAATAAAGAACTTTTTTTCGAAAGTTTAATTGCTGGATAAGAGTGGGTGCTTACCGCCAGCGTTACTGGTGGTAAGAGTTTGAAAGCATGAACAACGTTTGGATCTAACAATCAATCTGAAAGCATGAACAGCGTTTGGATCGAACAATCAATCACTTGACAATCAACCACCAGCTGGCAAGAGTTTGAAAGCATGAACAGTGTTTGGATCTAACAATCAATCTGAAAGCATGAACAGTGTTTGGATCAAACAANATCTCTCTTAACCCATACCGACAAGCCACATTTCCATTACATCTACTCATAATAAAATTCCAGGCTCTTTTTCGTTGTCTTCCTACCGTGATGATGTTTGGATTGCTGGTTGGTTTTGATTCCCCCAGGCCCCACTAGTTTCTTTATTTTAATGCTCATTCTCTAGGTCTTAGAAGATAACATTAAGTAATCTATGGAGTCGGACCCTCTTGTATTGCCTCTTTTAATTTTGTTTCATGTTGATGATATGTGATTCTATCAATAAAAAACTGTATATCCGAGGAGTTTATTTTCTGGAAAAATTATTTTCATCAAAAAGTTTAATTTTCTACTTCATTTGTCTCTACACAGGTACAAATACATGGGACAGATTTGAGCTGCGTGTCCACAAGCGGGTCATTGACCTTTTCAGTTCTGCAGATGTTGTCAAACAAATCACCTCAATCACCATTGAACCTGGTGTTGAGGTTGAGGTCACTATTGCTGATTCTTAGGTCTTACCTAGGTAGATGAGTTACTCTTTATATGCTGTGGTATTTTGCCCTCCAGACTTTATGTATTACAAAGTTTTTGGAATTACAATTTTGCTGTTAAACTAAGACTTTTGATAAAAGCAAAGTGCATGGTTTGTTTATTTAGTAGCTAATTTATTGAATTTCCTACACTAGATTACTTCAAAAGATGTGATTATGACCTTTGTTTGCTTATTTTCATAATAAGACCTTAAAACTTTTAACACCACGGGGAAGTATCGAGTACAAAGCCGTTTTACATTTGAGGTGCAGTTTCAAAATTTCTCAGATGCCCAAAATTTGTGTTATTTTTGCTACTGGGACTCTAATTATATTCGATGACATTTTAGGACTATTAAGTGAAAATTGTTTACTTTTTGTTGTTCTTGTAACAATCTTTGGATATTGAAGCCTCTATCCTCTGCAGTTCTTACTCGATCCCTCGTTTCCCTGTTTTGCTGGGCAATTAAGGTGGAAAAAAGGATGTCAAAGCATTCACTTGCTATTTGTCATGGTTGAGAAATGTTTTTAATTCGTGTGCATTATGAATTCTCAGAACTAAAAGCTCGAAAAATAAAAAATAAAAAGGCTTTTGAAAGATGCAACGACCACCATCCAGCTGGTATTTGGTAAATGTACCATTTCTTTTGTAATATAGTGATAGACGAGAAGTAAGCAAGTGTGCACGGGGTCAATAGCTACTTTGGTGGAAGAAAATAAATTACAACATATAAAAGTATAAAAAGAGTTGATAAAATCTTGAAGGCTTGCATATAACAATGATAACCAAATGTAAGTTATATAAGTTTGTCAAAGACTGAACGAACTAAAGAACTTCAAACTTGCTGAAACTTTACGGAGAATGAAAATATTCCTCAAATGATTACTCTACTCGAGAAAAGGCTAAGCAAATTTACATTAAAGACATGGAACTGATGAAAGAAGTCTACACATGCGGCAGCTTCAACTTGGTCAACTTTTTCGCTCAGACACTTATACTAAGGCTTGTTCCTATTGACACTAAATATCTACCAAAAATGTGCCTATGAGACTCTTCCTGTAACGCCCTTCATTTTCAAGATAAGCTATTTGAAAAGACAACTGGAAATTACTACAAAATTCAATCTTGAATAATTTGAGGTCCACTAAGGCACAACACTTCCAGCTCCAGATCCAATGTAATAGTCAAATTTAGAAAAGAAATAAAGGGTGAGGGGAGGGGGATAAGGAGAAATTATGAGCAAGCAACTCTGCTATCATTCCCATTGAATAGCAAATGCTCACACGTTATTTTTAACACAATAAAGCATGTCTGGGCATGTCAATGCATGCTTCTAACTACACCATTACTCATCTCCATAGAGTTCAATCACTGTTAACAAGTCAGTTTAAAATGGTTGGATCATTCCATCTTTCATTTCCTAAGTTTACCGCTCATAAACATTAACTGGAAACCAAAGGGTTTGATTCAACTATCCATATTTACTTTGGTAGGAAGTGAAGATCTCCACAAGAGAAGTGTAGACTCACTTCCTCAAACAGTCATCAACCAAGTCTTTTCGTTTCACTTTTTACATAGAGAGAAAGAAGCGAGAAAGAGAGAGATGATGATGATTCGGCTGAATAATGTTATGTCATTTTTTCTGGTCCTTCAGGACAAGGCCCACTCGAAATACTGGCAACAGGCACCTCTAGCAGCAGTCCAATTCCCACACCCGAAGAATAAGCTTCCTTGCTTTGGACCTGGTTTCCGGAACATCCCTTTGCTGCTTCTTACTCCACAGAAACAGTAAGGCTGATGATTTTGCAATCCTGGAGGCATGTCCCTCGTCTTTTGAGGTTGATAAGAGGGAAACGATGGGTGATCTGGGGGTAGCTTCCATGTAGAGGGTTCATTACTAAAATGATACATCAGAGAATCAGTGATAGAGAATCTGAAACCCCTGTGCATGAGCAAAGCAAGCAAGCGGGCTGTATTTTTGGCATCATCAAGACCACAGTGTGCACGGCCCTGCCATGCTAGGCCAGCCATTTGGACCGCCTCTTTCAAATTGCACCTTGCACCTCCAAAAACCTCTTTGAAAGGAACCTTCAAGTTGATCCATCTGGAATACGTTTTTTATGTTAACCCAAAGAAAAAGTGCTCCATTTTAGAACACAGATAAAAATAAGAATATAAACCTACCGGTTGAAATAAGGAGGCTTCCTTATCTTCTTGTATCGGCATTCTGATTCCAACATCACACGGCAATCCCAACTGGACCATGTCACAACAGCAAAGTTGGTATTCTTTATCCCTTTCTTCTCAAGCCACTTGTCATGCCTAAGGAGAGCTTCACTTAGAGTAACTCCTCTGTCAACCTGTCAAAGGAAAAAAAATCCAACTTGCATGACTCAGCTGTTACAACATTAAACCCACAGAAAGTAGCAATAGACTGGGCAATATTCACAAAACAGGTCAAACCTACTCGAGAAAGAAGGTGCAGCACAATAAGTTTCAATAGAAAAGATACTCTAAACTCCAAGCCTGTCCTTAAAAACTGCGTTATTCCTTAAGCAATTCAGGTGAATGCTTTAAGCAAAGAAAGGCACAAATGAAGAAAAATATGAGAAATATATAATGCAATATATATATATATATATATAGGAAGTTTAAAACATACTGGAATTTAGTAAATTATATGAAGTGAAAACCATGTCATTGGAGTTAAAACGCCATACATATCAAGTTTCTGATGCAGATGCAAAAATGCAGTTCAAAATTTCTTGTTCACATTCAGTAACTAGTTTTTTTTTACTAAGGAGATTTAGTAACAAGTTTTCTTATATTAATTTTTTATTCCTGTTTCTAATATTAATATATTGCAGAATGTTTTCTTAGCAATTGTTAGTTTACAGCATGTATATAGTGTAGTATTGTCCCACATTGGTAGAGGAGTAGTATGTCCTTGTATAGTATAGCTATAAATAAGTACCTCTTGTATTGTATTGTTCATCAAAATATCAATAACATATTTTCTCCCGTGCCTTCTCACATGGTATCAGAGCAATTGTGAGAGACTTATCGCTGTGCATAAATTCCAGCGATTCCGGGAAAGAGAAATCAGTACTTTTTTAANTGTTAGTTTACAGCATGTATATAGTGTAGTATTGTCCCACATTGGTAGAGGAGTAGTATGTCCTTGTATAGTATAGCTATAAATAAGTACCTCTTGTATTGTATTGTTCATCAAAATATCAATAACATATTTTCTCCCGTGCCTTCTCACATGGTATCAGAGCAATTGTGAGAGAC